ATGGCCTCCAACCTAATAGCGATGGCCTCCAACCTAAGAGCGATGGCTTCCACCCTAATAGCAATGGCCTTCAACCTAAGAGCGATGGCCTCCAACCTAAGAGCGATGGCCTCCAACCTAAAACCATGGCCTCCAACCTAATAGCGATGGCCTCCAACCTAAGAGCGATGGCCTCCAACCTAATAGCGATGGTCTCGAACCTAAGAGCGATGGCCTCCAACCTAATAGCGATGGCCTCCAACCTAATAGCGAGGGCCTCCAACCTAAGAGCGATGGCTTCCAACCTAATAGCAATGGCCTTCAACCTAAGAGTGATGGCCTCCAACCTCAAAGCGATGGCCTGGCCTCCAACCTAAGAGCCATGGCCTCCAAACTAATAGTGATGGCCTCCAACCTAATAGCGATGGCCTCCAACCTAATAGCGATGGCCTCCAACCTAGTAGCGATGGCCTCCAACCTAATAGCGATGGCCTCCAACCTAATAGCGATGGCCTCCAAGCGATGGCCTCCAACCTAATAGCAAATGCCTTCAACCTAAGAGCGATGGCCTCCAACCTCAAAGCGATGGCCTGGCCTCCAACCTAAGAGCCATGGCCTCCAACCTAATAGATGGCCTCCAACCTAATAGTGATGGCCTCCAACCTAATAGCGATGGCCTCCAACCAAATAGTGATGGCCTCCAACCTAAGAGCAATGGCCTCCAACCTACTAGCGATGGCCTCCAACCTATTAGCGGTGAACTGTCCATAAGTCTCCAACAGCACAGCACTGTCTTCCAGGCACACACACAGAGACACACATGTCACATATGTACAGCGGCGCTGCTCATCTAAGACACCCACATCGAGCCCCCGTCAGGCACCTCAGGAAGCACTTGCTTCGCAACATGCGTCTGCCTGGAATCCCCAAAAGGCCACCAAAAGGAGGCAAAGCGGCCCAGCCAAAACGAGTCAATCAATTCACTCAAACCTGCCCATCTCATCTCTTTGAGCTCATGGGTCTGCCCGGTCAAAGCCACCGCGCCACCGGGTCCTTCGGGTCACCAGGCCGTGTAGCCCACCGTCTGCAGGCCACCCAGCAGTCGGCAGGTGCGCGGCACCGCACCCACCTCACCGGCGTTGTGGGCGCTGTGTGGAGCGGACGAGCGGCTTGGCGTCCACTGGAAGAAGGTCAAAGCGGACTCCAAAGAAGTCGGCGTTTTTTGTTGGTGCATTGCGGGTGGAAACGAGTCCAACGAAAAAATAACAATAAAGCTGCCACCTTTGATTGGATCAAAGCGATGGCATTGGTGACCGCAGCATCCTTGTCAGCAAGGTCCGCCATGGTTGCCCTCAGTTGTGCAAAGTACTTTGATTCGAGCTACTCAGATCCTGAAGAATAGAAAGGATTCTGGTTGGAGGCCATCGCTCTTAGGTTGGAGGCCATCGCTATTAGGTTGAAGGCCATCGCTTCGAGCTGCTCAGATCCTGTAGAATAGAAAGGATTCTAGATATTCTAGCCGATTCTATCCATCTCGTTGCTGGAACCTGAACTTTTCAGGCTTGAAAAGCTGCTGCATTTGCAAGCATTCGGGGTTGCTTACCCCTCTTGGAACTTCTCCGCATCACTGCATCGGACAAATACATATGCTCTCAGAAATGAAACATTAGGCCCGCTACTGATCTGTCTTCGTCTCTGAACGCATGTCCATCATGATTTGCTGCAGCTTATCCTTCACTTCCAGCAAAAACCTAAGATAGCAGTGTGACAAGCATGTTTCTCCACACCCAGACAATTATAGAAAACGGTGGAACCATATCCGACGGCCGGCTCACTCACTGGCACCGGCCCGACATATGCGGCTCGACGCCACACCGGCTCACCCACACTTCCGAGGCACTCTTGGATTCTTCGTAGCGCCTCGTCGGGCAGTGAATGGATCTTGTACTTCACCTGCGAATGTCGGGGGGAGTAAAGGCCGCCAAGGCTCCGAAAACACCGGATGGACCATCAAATTCAGCTCTGCCACTCAGTGAGATTTGTTGGGTGTTCCCCCAAGAATGTCTTATACGCAGGTTGAAACCTGAACTAAGAAACTCTGGGGAATCTACTCTAGCTGGAGGCCTCCAAATCTTGAAATTTCACCATGCCAGAAGAAAACGTAAACTTTCACTCACAGGCAGGACAGCTCTTCAACCGAAGTCAGTGCCTGATACACAACTTCATCAATGAGGATCTTGCTATCCTGCCAAGTCTGAAACGCTCTCTCCACCAAAACATGTGAATCACAAATCCAAAAAACTGGGTAGACAGGTTTTTTTCGAGACTGCAATGACTACAGCACAGGAACAGTTTCTTTATATACTGCACCTGAAAATTGTCAAAAGGCCTTATACATATAGAGAGAGAGAGACAGAGAGAGAGAGAGAGATGTTATATACAGTGTTCGATGATCACAAGGCGGGTCCTCAGGAGGCATACCAGGTCTGCTGACCCAAGCGAATACATCTGACGTGTCTTGAGCATTTGCTACATTGAGCCTGAACAACATGGGCAACAGTCAACAGGCTCTGGGTCTTCTGCTCCCTTTGGATCGAAGTCATTGGTTCTCCATTCGTGCTTTGACCAAGCTCGTGAACCAGGCCTGACGTTGTAGACCGGCACCATCTCTTTCAAGGCTTCGAACATGTTCATCGCAGAGGCCCTAAGATCGAGTGGTGGGATCGAGGCAAATGCTACTCAACTGCATCTTCTGTCTCCCTCAAGTTGGAGGGATCTTGTGGATCTTGTGGATCTCGATCAGTGGTTTTCGGAATTCGCAAGTGCCACGCCCAGCTCAGTGCCACGCCCACCACTGCCTAATCTGCCACTTCTGGAGGTGGTGATGATGGGGTTGTCAAACTCCGCGGCCTCACTGCGGTGTTCGGCCAACGCGGTCGACCGCGGCGGTTCGGTCAGTTCCACCGGCCAGTTTGGTCGAGGCCCCGGCACAGTGGAAGGAGGCGATGAGGCCAAGGCCACCGAGGCCCCCCGTGACCTTGGGGTGCGGATGAGGCCAAGGCCCTCGGTGAGACAAAAGTGTGTAAGAAAAACAAGACAAAGGTGTTTGAGAAATTGAAAACGACCAAAGGCCAAGAAGTCTCATTAAGGATGGATAAGTGGATTCTGGGATTCTGGAGAATTCCATCTGCACATGCGCAAAGAGGGAGATAAGGTGACCACCATCATCTCGCCTACAGCCCTGTGGAACACGGCGAGATGCCGCGCACCTGCCGGACCTACTTTGTAGAAGCTTGAACTGAGAAGGCGATGAGCATCATGCAGATCAAGACAAATTATTTGGCAATGTAACAAGGCATGCTAGCCTTCGGCCACATCCACAAAGCTTAGAGAATACAAAAAGGTGATCCCAATCACCTGCAGGTCATAGCATCCTTTTTAAACCATCTCATGGCCAGCCTCTGAAGGTTCTGATCCTTTGACCTTCAGTGAACTTGTCCAGATGGAAGAGACCAATCAGACCCTCCGACCGTCAGAACCGTCCTGGAAGAGAGAGGAGTCTTCCCCCGACACGTGTCCAGCAGCCGTCCCGGTGAACAAACCGTTCCGCGCGCAGACCGGCCGGGAGCCCTCGGGGCGTCTCAGGCATCGCGGAGGTCTCGCAGGTCAACCACTTCGCTGTCACTGTCAGCTCTTTCAGCGTCCCTGCACAAAGCCAGAGGAGAGCCGAATCATCTGGTGTTTGGTGTCTTTGTTCGGTTAGGGAACATGACTGGATCTGCAGATCATCATCTGCTGGCGTGGTGTCTTGTGTGTTTTAAGGGAACATGACTCGATCTGATCAGGGTTTCGGAAGCGTCCAAAAGGCTCCGCAGCTGAAGGCAGCCCATTTTTTGGCTTGCAAGGTGGCAAAGCTCTTTACATGGTCCCAAATGTCTGTCTCGTGTGCGGTGCTCTCATACCAACATGCAAGAAATCTCAGATGGCAGGACGACCTTTCTGTCAATACTATTCAATACTTATACCCACTGTTTCAAACGCGCAGCAACACTGCAGTGAGACATGTAAGAGACCAATGACATTCAGATGTGATAAAAGGAAATTCAGAGATTCTTCGTCCACGTCGCCCAGCTTCATCAAGCTGTACACAATAGAAGCCTCCCAAACATGTTCCAAAAAAAGAAAAGCATCAGCACTTCGGATATTGGATAGGCCACCAGAAAATGGCTGAGTCGTAAGTAAAGCCGGAGTCCGCCTCTGTGCAGAACCCCAGCATGTGATCCAAACCTTGGGAGAAAATGATCATGGCAAAAATGGTGTGAAACTGTGCCATGGCAGCTGGCAACAAGTGCCCCCAGAATGGCATCTTCTCAAACTCTTCGATCCGAAAGCGAAAGTCATAGGCCACTCGTGTGCTCCAACAGGTGCTCTTCATCAAAGTGCGATCTGGCTTCGGCGACTTCGGGGAGCTTGGAGACAGAGGCCGCGGTGGAGGCCCACCGTGCGGGTCAGGCAACGGGGCCGTCCTTCCGCGTGCGGAATGAGGTAGGGATGCTGGTGTTGGTGTTGGTGTTGGCAGAGTTGGTACCACCGAGCTGCTCGACTCCTTCGAGGAGGATCGTCGTGTCGGCTCCTTGGAACCCTTGCGCTTGCTGAGCCGCGTCGTGGCCATGGCTTCAACCTCCTGCTCAGTCACCAGCAAAGATGGTGGAGAAAAGTCAACACCAATGTACCACAAAGCATAGCTCAGCAAATCCTCTACCGCTTCTGCCAGCAGCACGCTGAGCACAATAATCATCTCTGGTCCATTGAGAGGCACTGGAACTCCGTTGCAAAGGCGAGCAAGCAACATGGCACCAACCGCCCCGAAGCGCAAGTATCCCACACAATAGCCGGACTCTCGCAGTAGTTTGCTGCTGTTGTTGGGCCTTCGCCATCCACGAGTGATGATATGCAGAAGACGATCCAATCCCCCCAAACGGGCCATCACATTCCATAAGACTCCACTGATGATAGGCATCAGGATCGTGAGATCCTGGTTCTGCACGTGGTCCACATACAGCAAGGTCAGCCGTGCTCCTGGCGCAGTCCCACCTCCGATCGGTCACAACACACGGATGCTTCTGCTGCTACGAGCATCGCAGCATCACGAAGCAGGAGATGTGTAATAAGACAAACATTCCGATGCCTAGTCACAAGTCCGACCGTATCAGGAGGCTGGTTTTTGCAGGTAAAGATCCATGCTTGTCCTTTTGTCTACCCAGGCGAAGGTTCTATACCTAGAGCCCCTTCAAAAGTGAATAGCTTGTGTGGGACCCATGAAGCTTTGGGGACCACGGAAGGTTTGGCTCGCGGGGTTTCTGCGCTCGCGGGGTTTCTGCGGGTTCTCTTCCACCAGACCCAATACTTCCCCCTCCACCAGCCATCTCCTTCAGCCATGGCATGCAGGTTGCAAATGGCCATAGACACGACTATGCCTTGATTCGTCCCCGTGTAGCCCTCTCGCACCTCAGGCTGGATCACAAACTGCTTCGTGAAGATCCGTGAGACAAGAGAGGTTCCAAGGAGCTCATAGAAACTCAAGATGAGAGGAATCACCAAGCCCAGTTGGGGCCCCAGACTCCTTCGCAGCAGAGAGTAGCTGGTCACCACGATCAAAAATCCCAAGATCGGCAATAACAGCGTGGCCGGGCCGATGCTAAATGCATACCTTCTGCTTACGGTGGGCGGTGCCAGAAGCAAAGTGGTCACGATTCCAATGGGCATCATTAGAAGGTTCCCCAAGCCGTAGATGGGAATAAACCCAAAGTGTTCCTTCTCACCAATGTGGACACAAACAAGAAGCGTATATGCAGAAATCCAGGCTGTGTGTATCACATAGGGCAAGCAGTTTGCCCGCCTCGCCGACAAGTTTGGCGTCTCCACGTAGCTACGTGCCCTGGTCAACTTCTCTCCCGGTTGAAGAGACCAGAGAACAAAGTTCCGAGTGAATGGCATCGAGATGAAGTGGATCGGGATGTAGAATAAGAAGAGCCACCCCACCAATCTCAGCAACAGCGTCAACCAACCCATTTTCTGACCAAAAATTCCGACTTCGGATGCGCTAAGTGCAACAAGGCCAATGAATATCATGCCACTGACCAGTAGCGCAGAAAGGAGGGTGCTCCGCACCGTGGGAAGGCAGAGCTTTGCTTCACCCATGTCCTCCACTTCACCTCTACAAGCTTCTTCTATGCTACATCTCAACGGCTTCTGACGGAAGATTCTCAAGGAGGTAGTTCGTGCACCACCCTTGGGTGAGGCAGGTGAAGCAGGCGAAGCTGCGCCTGGAACGGGTGAGTGTTCAAACCCGGAAGTCAAAGGAGGCGGCCTGCGAGATGCCATTCTCAAGGAGCTAGTTAGTACTGCACTGCCTTGAGGCGAAGGTGTGCCTGGAAGCGGCACCTTCTCAGCCGCCTTTGGAGAAGCGACCACCTGCGGTCTTCCAGACACTGATCGAGGTACTGATTCATCTCGGAGCAGCTCGCCAGGAGATGTGGCTTCAGCAATGGGCTGTCCGGGAAAATTGCAGCCTCCTTGGGAGGCCATTGGAAGCAGGACAAGCTTGGGATGTTGAGCCAAGAAATTCATAGAATTTCGATGACCGTACGAGTGTGGGCAGATCTCAACACATCACACAAATATATGTAGTGTCTTCGTGCGAATCCAAGTGTTTCTGGTGTTCAAACCGTGAAGACACGCCGGGCAAACGTCGCTTGAGGCTCGTGCGGCGGAGTTTCTTGCGCAGCTTCCGGCTTCGGACCTGCACGCTCGGTGCCACGAAGCCCAGTGAGTTCCGACGCCCAAAGAGTTCCGCCTGCTGAGCCAGAGGATCGGCCTTCGTCTTCGCGTGGGGCACTGAGCTCCTGTCTTTTGGGCTCTGGAGTTACATTGCTCATCTCCTTAGGTGCCATGTCAAACTCGGGAAGCCGAATTCTCCACCAAATCAAAGAGATGTCGACATCTGTAAAGATGGGAGAAAAAAAAGAAGAGAAGCCGTTACCTGAAAGCAACTACCCACCCCAGGGGCCCCATGGGGCCTGGGAAGATAGCACAGAGCCTTCCTGATGCCCCTTAGCTCCACCGTGAGACCTCTCGGAAGCGCGGACTGTCTGGGCCAAGACTCGATCTCAGAAGACCTCAGGCCGTGAGGGGGAGCACATGACTAGGCAGCATGCCATTGAGGGAGGCCATTGCTAGTGAGTAGGTTGGAGACCATTACAATCCATGACATATGAAGGTAACATTCATCCAAATTCATCAAAGCTAGAGTTCCGATGGAGCCCAAAAGACATATAGAGTCTGACTGTGTCACTGCCTCCATACTTGCAGACCCAGGGGCTGTGGCGCCAAGTGTCCTGAGGTCTATCAACGAACGCTTCTCAGCTCAATGCCCAAAAGCAATCCACGTCTCCCGTTCAACTCTGCACTCTTCGCTCCGAGGAACCCAATTGCATGGCCAGTTCCCGGGCATCTCCATGGGCCATGCTGGCACGAGCCAAGGTCTTTCGATACCTGGCACGAGCCACCGGCCCCTCAACATGTCTTTGTCTTTTGACTTGGCAATGCCACACATTAGATAAATTGCAAAATATAGCACATCAAAAAAGAAACGACACACATTCTGGATAGACAGGCTTCCAGTGGGTTCTATGTTGATCTAAAGGCAAACCAAAGCAAACTGGAACAAACTGAGCTGCAGCCCATTGCTATCAATCACACATGAATAAACTCACACAAAGCATTGTGAGATTCATTGTGAGATTCATTGCCAACACCTCCTAAAGCACCCCAAAAGCCTTGTTTGCTCAAGAGATTGACCCCAGCAGCGGGTCTCCAGTCTTCCTCGGAGTCCAACCAGTTTTCTGTCAGTCCAACCAATCAGCTCTTTCCCAAAACCGTCCAACGCACCCACGCAGCGACATGGCGTGGCACCCGTGGCACCGCTTTCGGCCTGACCACCGACGAATAGAGTCGTGGTTGCACCGCTTTCGGCCTCAGTTCCACGCGTGGCCTCCGGTGGAATCGGTGGCGTCCGGTCACTTCGAAGAGAAGCAAAGCCAATAGCTTCTTGTTACTACTAGTAAGGCACCTGTTACTACTAGCGTGGCACTTGTTACTACTAGCTTCTTGCTACGCACTTGTTACTAGTAGTATTATATATCAAATGGACTTGCGAATCCAAAAAGAAGGGTCTGCATCTGTCACTGCACAGAAGCCAGCCAGACACAAAAGAAAGAAGGTCAAAGCAGTCAGGCAACTCTTCTTCTTTGGGCACTTCCTCAGTCTTCCTTTTGAAGCAAGGGAGCTTCCTCTTCAGTACTGACAAACTTCCACACCTCAGATGTCTTGACACTGCTTAGTTTGGCAGACTTGGGGGATCGCGTTCTAGCTTCAGTTCCTCTTCCTCTTATATAATTGGAGAGAGAAACACCAAAAAGAACACTTGCTGACACTTGCTTCCACTGACAGGCGCAAAAGAAGAAAAATCCAAAGCCGTCACCGGCTGCCAAGGGACTCCCCACTGGGTCCAACTAGCAAGAGCAAAGCAGAGAAGAAGACTAAAGAGGTGACCACCGAGACGCAGATGACGTAGCAAATCACCATCCTCAAGTTTCGAGCGACGTGCTTCGACCAACAACATCTTCGCCCGGCTGCTGATTCCACCTGATACCCCTGAGGTCTTCGAGTGGGCCATGTACTTTAGACCTCCTTCGGTTCCTCTTTTCACAAAAGTTCTCAGGGATGGCTATCAGATATCAGAAAAGCAAGCGCCCAACAAGAGGCTGGACTGGCAAACACACAAGCAAGAGACAGGCCAAGCCAATGTGTGTCAAGCCACCCGAACTTCACCAGGAAAAGGCCTTGTGTCACAAGTGAAAGGAATCTGAAACACATCGAGGCTGATCATCGCTGATCGCTTTTAAATCCTGTTTCAATTTGTTTGGATTTGCAAAAGATGTCCCGAAAGTTTCTAGCTGAGAGTCTCTTGCAAAACATCATGAAGATTGCTGCGCCAGCCTTAGATTGGCAAAGAAGGCCTCCAATCTCAGGATAAGGGATGTTTTGGCACTTGATTTATTGGAGAAGCTCCGCTACCCAGGAGCAGACACTAGGGGACTGAGAGGACACTCTCTGTGTTGTTCAGCTTTGCATCTCACTGTACTGACATTCGGGGAGCGGTCTTCACCGTCTTCCATAGCAAGGGGCTGATGAAATGGCTCCAGACACCACCGAGACACCCATCTTCGTCACCTCGGGTCACAACTACACGTGGCAAATCAAGCACCAAAAGACAGGTGTGGCTTCAGAAGCTTTAGATGCTTTTGAATCTTCTAGGCTTTGTCAAAAAAGGAGAGGGCCGTCATTTAGAGATAACCCATGCGTTCTTTGAGAGATACATACATGCTTTGACCATTCCCATGTGAGGATGGCCGATTCCAGGAGTGGGGGGTGTGCCCCTCTCCATCCCCAACTGACTCCAATCAAAAGCTGCCATGACTGTGGCTTTTCTAGCACTACATGTACATGTGCCACATGATTGAATTGTCATAGTAGAGAAAAGCTGTGCTCGACTCATATGTTGTGCACCGTCTTCCAAGTCGCCATGAATTGCACACGATCCTCCTTCCTCTCGTCAGGGCATTCCAAGTATGCATCGCCTGATGTGCCATCTGAGTAGTATAGACAAAGTCTATTTCATGGCTACAAATCATCAGGATTTGGCGAGTCGACTTTTGTTTAGTCGGTCAAATAGATGCTAAAAGCATGCCGCTGGAAGACCCCACCACCACTCAGAGCAAGGTTCGCTACTAGTAACAAAGGGCATCGCTACTAGGGATAGCTCCTGGCATTACTAGGAGCAAGGACGCTACGAACGGGGCTCCTGGCCTTACGACTGAGCAAGAAGCTACTAGTAACAAAGGACGTTCACGAACTTTTGACCCGGATGGGACGCCGGACCCATCCGGACGGACCGGACGACCGGACCGGACGACCGGACGGACGGGTCGGTCGTGACCGGACCGACGCCTAGGTGGATGACATAGTCAACGGACAGGCCAATCACCATGACATAGATCACAGCTTCACTCACACTGGTCTTCCAGCCCATGCACACAGCAAAGGCTAGGACCGAGGACACCTGAGTCTACAGTACCCATGAGATGGGCTTTCGGACAGTAGAAATCAAGACTTGAGAGGCCAAATTCACCAAAGGCTCTCGCTCCAAAACGCAGACCCCTCATGAAAGAAAAGCAGACCATGCTCTAGGGATGAACCCACAAAAGTAGCAGGCTCCTCTGGACTTTGGACCTAGTCAATGTCTTGTCTTGGTGCCAAGCAGGTGCCAAGCTGCAATGGCTACGATGCAGGACACGGAAATGGCGGCCAGGATCACATTGCCCGTGGCAAACAGCAGCACCATAAAGGCCAAAAACCTCGTTTTGAACAGATCGGATCGGTGCAGGACCTGCGGGACCCCCCCGTTACCGTGCAGGTAAGGGGCAAAGACAGCTTGATGCCATCAAAGACCTCATCGTTCATGGTCTCTTGAACATGGAACCAGTGGAAGGCAAACCTCAAACGGCAGCTGGAGCCATTGCTCCAGGGTTGCAAACATTGAGGGCTTCAAAAGTTCCAGAACGTTCGCAGAAACAAAAAAAAGAGGAAAGTGGCAGGGTCTGCCACAAAAAAAATAGAAACATGGCCCTGTTGACCGGTCTACCATTTGGCAGGGTTCCAAAGCGCAAAGCAAAGCGGTTCAGCGAATCGTCGAGTTGGCTCCGTCTCGGATCGTGTGCTTTCTGCCGGTCGCGGCACATGTCGGTGGCAAAGATCGCCTTCGGCAGGTCTTTGAGGTTGGCCTTAGGTTTAGAGGCATCGGCGCATGTTCAGTTTAACCTGGGCAAGCACCAAGTAAACATTAAAAAAATAAAGAAACTACCATGGCATGGCAGGCAATGGTGCGTTTCGCAAGCGAAAACGATGGTGGTTAACCTGGGGGTAGTACCAAAGAACGAAGAAAAAAACTGGACGGGTGGTCACGGGCGGTTTGGGGTTGCTCGTGTCAGACCAGGCTCCAAATCTGCTTCCTTCTTCGCGAACTCATTGACAAACCTCTCGGCTCCACATCCGAGCAGAGTGTCGGGTGGATGATCTCCCCTTCCTCTCCAAAAGAAGGAGGGTCATCTTGGTCGTCTATCCAACCCCAAAGTGGGTTGCCCTACGCAAAGCTTCAAGCTGCTTTGGGGTTCACCCGCCTGTCCCAGTAGCCTTCCAGCTTGATTCCATCCTGAAAAGAGCGCGGTCGCCGACGGTCGCATGTCTGCTCACTTCGCAACAGAAGCACAGTCGCAGCCACCGGATGTCATCCTGCCAAGCTTCTCTAAATGGAATCTCCCAAGTGACCTTTAATGCCACCTCGATGACCAGTGCACGAAGCACCAGCACCCCATCCACACGATCAAAGAACACCTGGCCGCATGATTGACTTGGCTCTTACATTGGGGTGGAAACGTGGCTTCTCTGATGCTGAAAGCATCCTGCTGAACCCAACAACCAATGAGGATTGGTCAAATTCTGTAATTCTTCCCTGCAAAGCCATGCGATGACACGGGTGAGCGTAATCGTGTCCATTCGTAAGTACCCAAAACATTGACAACTGGGATTCCTTCGACATAATTTGGATTTGTTTGGTCTATAGTATCCGACCACTCCCACCACATCAACCTCTTTTCGTGACCCAAAGTCTGCAAGTTCCTGCCCTCGTTTTGTCTTCCAAAACGGAGGGGTGAACAACTCCCCACGGCCAGAATCAGCCAGAAAACCCGACCTCGTCTTGGAAATGTTCCATGTTTCGACTTCCAGCTTGATACATCCTGGGCAGACTGCGGTGCATGCGGTGCATGCCATGCCTGTCTCGTGGTGAATCTGTGACTGTCAGAAGTTGCTCCCAAATAGAAATGCAAACGACAAAAACCCTACGTGGTCTTGGCATCTATTTGAGGTCCCACCCTTCCCATGGCCATCAAGCAGCTTGTTGTGTGGTGGCATGGGAGCCTCCAGGAACTTTACAAAGTCGGAGTTTTTGTCGCAACAGAAGTTGCCTTGGATTCCCGGTGCAGTGATGTTGATAAAAGGCTTGCAAACTGAACCAACCGAGAAAGTACAGTGACCTGATTCGCAGAGTGGGCACAAGATGGGAAGGTTAGTAACTATAGATTCTCTATCTTACTCCATCTGTCTGTGATCTTAATCATCTTTGGATCTGTTGACGCCTTTTTTGCAACTGAGCGTCCTGAGGGAAACTCCTACGATCCAACAATCATGTTCAACGGTGAAGAAAACGCCAAAAGAGTCGGTCAAAAGCCGCAGGCGAAGCAATGGTCGACTCTGAGTCAACATCCTACCAGTCAAGTGAATCCGTTTTCAAATCTCTCGCGGCTTTCAAATCCGCCCAACCAGCCCTGCTCCTTCCCATCCCCTATCTTGCTGGCGGCACTCATCGCCTCCTGAGTCCCGTCTCGCGGTCTTGTGTGAAGCTTGGGCCGGACTCTCATTTTCCCTAAGATTCCAGCTGTCCACTGCTTGAAGTCATGGATCACCTGAACAACGGCGAAGTCCCTGACCGGATAGGTCCGAGAAGTCCCCCCCAAACCCGGCAGCACCGAACGTTCGTTTTGGAGCCCCGAGAACGAACGTGAAAGGTATGGAGATGGACTCAGAAATGGTCAAAGGTGAAGACCTTTTGAGCCAGCTTTCAGCATGCAAGCGCTTAAATGGACTCATCTAGCATTCGCATAGCAAGACATCGATTCATCGAGTTGACGGCCACCTTGATTGAACTCTAACAAGCAACCTGGAAAGGTAGATGAACACTAGGGCAACTTTTGCAAAGAGATGTCAATGCTCTGCTTGAAGATCTTTCAAAAATGCTGGAGGCGCAATCTGTCAAATATGCATTACCAGCATCACACAACCCCTTTCCATGCACCCAGAAAAAATCAACGTTCCCCTTTTATGTAAGTGTGATGAAAAAGCCTGAATATACCAAACTAGACCACAGATTCCTGACTTCGTTCGCCTGACCAACTTTCGCCTCGCTCCTGATCTTGTGGAAATATGGCACCAAAACTGTTTCTGATAACTCAGACCCTGTGCATACTGGCTGAAGCGCTCTCACATTCAGTATTACGTTGGCGGAAGGTAGAGGCATGTGTTCAGACAGAAAGACACTCTCCCCGAAGGTGTGGTGTTCCCACACGGTTCCCATTCACCAGGTCAGTCACGCATTTCAGCGGCGGCATGCCACCCAAATCTGCTTCAGTGGCCAGCTGCAGGTAGCTGAAGTCACCTAGAGTTGGACTGGAATCTGGAAAGAAAGTAGAACAACTCGAGCAATCCAAGCCTTCATCTTCATCGCCAGACTCATCTGGTTCGCCGATCTCTTGAAGAAGGTCCTGGGAATGCTATTGGCACGGAAAACAGAGAGCAGCTAAGGCTTGTTGTTGCTACAAGAAAGATGCATGTTTTCTGGAACGAGCCAGCTTCCAGCTTTGCCAAGATGCACAAAGCCTCAACATCATGTCCTGCACACCTCGGCCGGCCATTAAATATCAATATCAACATGTTGCACGGGACAAACCTTTATATATATAGATGAGCCTAAAAAAACAAAGCACGCCTTAGCATGCCTTAGCCACATATATGTCACATATTACAAGTTCATCAACTCCAAGTTGCGGTGCTGTTGATCCTTCTTCTCATCGGTCCTTTCACCTGTCGAGTGGCTGCCGGCGCGCAGATCGGATTCCTCCCAGGATCGAAACCGAAAGTTGGGTCTCGGTCGGACCGGTCAGACCGGGACCGGTTTGTGACCCACCAGACTTTGAGCCACCAAACCCCCCGCGCCTAGGGTGGCAAAGAGATGCACGTAGTTCGGCTTCTGCCCAGCACAGTTGAAGAAGCAATCGTTGTAGTCGGGCGTGGTGCCGCGATCGATGGGATCATCCGCGTTGACGCCCAAATGGATACGAACTTTCAATCGGTAGGGATTGAATTTCTTTTCGTAGCGCTTGGACAGCACGGGCAGGAAACGCTCATAGTTGTCGTTGGAACTAAAGACTTGAGGCATTTTGAGATCCGGTGTGACATAGCTCGCTGTCCACATGCAAATCACTGCAAAGGTTGCAAAAATGCCCAGCAGTGGGAGCTTGAACGTTCTAACCTCAGCTACTTGGCCAGTGCACGGTCCGCCACTGCTGCAGAAGGCGCTTTCGGTCCAATCAGAAAAGGCCATGCAGGCCATGCAGGCCACGCTCTGGGCTCATGGCAAATGCAAAGAATGAATCATGAAACCACCTCAGATGAGAAGTCGAATATGGACTTGGGGGGTCTTGGTGATTTTGAGACAAAGTAGTACAAAAACAGGAAAGGCAAGCAGCTTCTCCATTGGGCGAAGTGAATCAGCGTCCTTGAAAGGCGTTCAACTGTAAAGCGGCCCTTTTGACGGTCTGAGCAGACTCAACTGACCGCGATGGATCATACATCTGAATCAAAGGGAGTCTTTGAAAGTGTTCTCTTTTCCTCATGTTTTTGGCCCACCCTGCCTCTTGCTGAGCCTCCACCTGGACCTTTGGTGGCATGGATTGGGCAGCTTTCCGCTTGACTCGCTCGCTGGCGCAAACCTTGAGTGCGCTTGACTCGCCAGCGAGCGAAGCATCATCCAAAACACGGGCGCAACCCGCATGGCCACATGTCGCATGGCCTTCGACTGAACTGAGCTTCGAATTGTACCTATCTAAAGGCTACCATTGCTACCATGTCCAATAGCGATGGCCTCTAACCCAAGAGCAATGGCCTCCAACCTAGTAGAACCTAGCGATGGCCTCTCCCTAGTAGCGATAGCGGAAGGTATTTACCAATTCTACCAATCGTAACGTTGCAATTTTTTGGGATCCTTGCACCGCCCCGCTTGCGGTTTGCTAAAACAGGGTGGGCAAAACAGGCCAGGAATGTGGCCCTATTCAAACGCGTCCAATTCGGGGCAAGTGGAAGCGTCAAGCACGATCGTCTATCTCGCAGCTTGCGCATCCTCTTGCCACCCTAGACATCATCGAAAGCGTGGACGTACGGACTGTCATGATAGGCACTTTGCACATGGCTCCGGCAACCACCAGAAAGGCCAAGTACACCACCGGAAAACTTACAGCACAGGTGGCTGCAATCTCCAGCGGGTATGCCACCATGCTACTTTACAAGGCTCCGCACGTAGCGCAGGCTCCCAATCCTTGCAAACTAAACTCCTGAGGTGTTCTGACTCAATTCCGACCACCCTTGCCCCTCCGGCGGAAGCGCAGGCACAAAGAGCCAGCTTCTTCCACAGTGTCCTGGCAGAAAGGTTTTCTGACCAATTCGTTCACTTCCATTCAATTTCCAGAAACCTGCAGGACACTAGGGAGCATAGGATCACCGGGATCAACATGAAAATGTTTGAAAACACTGAGCTTCTTTAGGAGCTGATCCTAGCTGACATGAACTCTTGCCAAGTTGATCTTTTCAATTCCATGCCTCAATAGGATCTTCCCACAGCTCGCAGCGAGGAGCATTGAAGGACACTCCACGACAACGATTATTCTCGCGACAACGTTCCTGACAGCCCTGGACATCTGCTTCTGAAACGATGCTCGTCTCGCCATCTCCCTGGCAAGCTCTGTCATTTCCATCGACCACTCGGAATCCACGGAGGAGTTGCACGGAGCTCGACGTGCTGCTTGAGCTCGTGGAGGTCGTCACACCCGTCGTGGAGGTGGTCGCAGATGTGGTCGTTGCGACGGTCGTGGTTTGCGTGGGTGAAGCTGTTGTCGTGGTCGCGGTGGTCGTCGTGGCCGCGGTGGTCGTTGTGGTCGTCGTAGCCGCGGTGGTCGTCGTGGTCGTTGTGGTCGTCGTGGCTGCGGTGGTCGTCGTGGTCGTTGTGGTCGTCGTGGTCGTTGTGGTCGTCGTGGCTGCGGTGGTCGTTGTGGTCGTTGTGGTCGTCGTGGCCGCGGTGGTCGTCGTGGTCGTTGTTGTGGTGCAAACTCCAAGTGGCTGGAGTTCACTGTGGCCATTCTCCGTGGCAATGAGCCATGCTGCCATGAAGCTCTGCAACCATGCCTCTTCATCAGATGCAAAGAGCAGAACTGCCTCGGCCGCCGGGCCGGTCGGGTCGTTGCGATTGCCACAGTCGTTCTGTTGATTTCCGCAACAACGGCCCCTCTCACCTCCACCAGGGTTGCCCCCACAATACACTCCTCCATTGTTGGCCACTGCTCCGGGAATGGTCGCAGAGGTCAACCAAGCACAACAATCATGCTCGGTGGCAATGACTGGGCCACCCGCAGGACCATTTTCGCTGTAGGCAAGGCAGAGATCCGTGTTCAGCATCATCTCATGGCCATCAAAGCTGGTGTCTCTCCCAACATCACTGCGCTCCCATTGATTTTTCGCAGGATTGCCATTCACAGCCAATTCAGGAATCCAACCCTTAGCCAGCAAGGAGACGTAGTAATCGTTATTGAAGCGTCGCGAGTTCTCTGGATCACTCCACCATCCGTGATATCCTGAATTGCCCACTTGCGCACGGCCCAAAGTATGAACTCCCATCAGTGCAGCTGCCTCGGTCCAAGTCAAACCCATTCCATCCAGAAAGGTTTCTTCCACCGCATCGCAGCCCAGTTCGGGGTTGGGCAGGCGACCGGCAGCGAAGGTGCAGCTGGTGGCGGTGGTGCGGCCGAAGCGGAAGCGAGAACGGAAGTCCAGGGGCGAAGCTTGAGGGTTCGAGGCCAAGTGTCTTGCTCGAGTAGACGTCATCACTGCTTCAGCTGCGATCACCAGGAAGTCAGCCAGAGACACCTCTCTGCAGAACTGCTGGTACACATCCACCAATGCAAGACCATGCTCACCGGAAGAAAGGCATGCTGGCAAGCCTGCATTGTCTGGATCTGCCATGTCGGTGCAGGCATCTGAACCGCCTTGACCATTGGCAAAGTCCATAAAGTCATGTCCAGCCATGCGGAGAACGCAACCTGCCCAATCTGCCTGAGGACAGTTGGATGCCGTGCAGGTGGAATCCAAGGATTCGAGTTCGCCGCGCACAGCCGAGACAATGGAATCATAACCCTCCAATGTGAGGCATTCAGTGATGAGAGTTGCACCCGCATCGCAGCGCATCAATTCCGTCGGGGTGACATTCAGCAAAATGTCTTGCTGGCTGCGCTGCCCGCGCTTGCTGCGCTGCTTGGCATGCTGTAAGAGCCATGGGCCTTGAGTTTGAACGCACTTCTTCTCATCTACAGCACCAACCTCAAAGACCAGCCATGTTGCCAACAGCACTTCGGCCACTCTTGCCATCCGATACGGCCCAATTGTCAGAACAGTGCCTCTCAGGAGCCCTGGAACCAAAAATGGCTGTTGGTGCGAAAAGGTCGTGTTCCTTTCAACTCCTGTGCACCAACGAGAGAAGCACACTTGTCTTATCCTTTTCTCCAAGGGTTACATCTGAGAATCTGAGAATCCGACAATCGCAAGGAAAAATGTGAAGTCAATGCAAAAGTTGCTGATGATCAAGCTTGCCTTAGGTCTTGCCATGGTTCTTGGGCAGTGGCTAATGGCGCCTCGCGGAACATCCGTACCCTACTGGCTGCGGTGGATTGGATTTGATCAACAAAAACCCTGCCCATTGACTTCAGAGAATCCTCCTGGTCATCAACGTGGTCAACAGGTCCATCATGGTCGATCGCCCAATGGTCACGGTCGAGTGACACAGAAAAGCCCAAAGGTCCTGATGGATGCGAAACAGGATGAGGCGTTCCTGCGGTGGTCGCGCTTCGCCGGGGAAGCCGACACAGCAAAGCCGGGCGGAGCAGAGGAAGGTGCCAAGGGCGGAAAAAGAAAGAAATCCCCAAGAACAGATCCACCCCACTGGTTGACCAGAAAATATCCGCTTCTTCAGTGTGTGCTGCTGCTTTAATAAAACCAAGATGCGAGAAAAATGCAAAGAAAGTCGTCAGTGATGTGCACCTCAACGGGGATTGAAACATGTCCAAAGCAATAAACATCTACCCAATCTTTTTCTTTTACCTAGTCCGGACTCTACCCAACAAGTGATTCTTCCCCTATTGGCACTTGGCAAGGCGCCGAATCTATATAAGTCTTCCTTGATTAACCTGACAAAAACTGTACACCACCCACCCAGGTGTGCACCCCACACCTCCCACTGATGGACTGATTTCACGAAACAAAAAAAACAACGACGGCCCCGCCGGGTCCAACTCGCGACGAGATGCAAACATGCTTTGGATGCATGGTGGACAGCTGGCGACATTACTGCACCTCTGCTTCGCACAGGGCCGGTGAAAACTCCAACCGCAATACGGTTCTCTGTCACCCAAAAGCAGAAAAGGAGGCAATCAAGAATCAAACAGCTTTGGTATCGAAGAAGTTTCTCTCGAACGACAAGTCATCCAAAAGCCCATCCTTCCCGCCAAGCTTCTAAAATCTGTGCGCCGGCCCTCTGCTTCAGCCTCTGCCTTCTCTTGTCCATAGGCATCCTTCATGTGGAGGTCAGGCCAGTTTGGAACTCAAACTGACAGAGTCAAGAGACTGTTGTTGGCTTGCAGCTATGTTCCTTCATGAACCCGAATTGCGGCTTTAGTCAAAGGTATTTGAGTCACAGCAGCTTTGACTGATGACAGACGGTCACACAGTGGCAACACACCGTCCATGATGACGAAGGCATCATCCACTCCAACACCGAGGATAATGAAGAGTCCGTTCATGTGCAGCAGTCCTCAGCAAAGGACCCTTTCTGTGAAGAGAGGTGAGCTGGGACACCGGACCTGGACCTGGCTGGCCTTGAAAACATTGAACATCTGAAATCAAAGACTCAGCCAAACACCCATGTATCTCTGTTGAAACACCAAGGTGTAAAGCCTGAGATGTAAACTGCAAGCTCAGCAGTGGAGGATTCATATGCCACAACTGCAATCGCAACTTAGTTCTACTGCCGCATCCAAACTCGATGACAACCACATGACGACCAAAAGAGTAAGGCCGGTAGGGAACAGTTCCACAGTTCCACCTTTGAACACCTTTGCCTTGTGATGAGTCGATCGTACAAATGCATCATGTCATCGTGCGAAAGTCATTTAGACTTGTTGCCATCAAGCAGCAACAAAGCCGGCCCAAAGGAGAAGACGATCATCGCAATGATCTCGGCAGAAAGTTTCTCAACATGAACACCAAGCAAGCTGACGGACAACATCAGCGCTTCGCGCTCAGCGCTTCGCGCTCAAAGCGCTAAACGCTTCTTTCCAAAGCACGCAAAGACCCAAGAAGATGGAGCCGGTGGTGTAGGAGATGTATGTCAACATAAACATGATCGATGCCGTAATCCAGACCCCATCGCGCGGAATGTTGTAAGCAATATACCTTTCTGGGGCGCATGGCTCGCCCCAAGCCGTGTGTCATTCGAAAAGAATGTAAGCCATGAAAGCCATGCAGACAAGGAACTGCTTTAGAAGTGGACTTCCATTTTGTAGACTGTTTGCATCAAAAATGATCCTTGGATCACATCACAGACGCGCAGGCCGCAGGGCAGAAGTCGGAAAAGGCACTCGCACTTGCACCGGATCTTTGGGGCCAAGCCACCTGAAGCCTCAGACGAACGCAGAGCGCATCGCTGATCACAAGCCGCGAACGACGCGAACTCCGCGGGCCTTCGGCGTCGCGGTTTTCTTTGATCAGCATGTCATTGTAGGTATTGAAAATCCACTCCATAATGTAGTCAGAGGCCTCCAAGCATGTCGCATCACATGAAGCTGAAGGTGTTCAAAGTGCCCACCAGGACTGCAGCACAGCTGTAGTCAGTACACGAAAGTCCTGGGTCCGTCCGTCCTGATTCCCACCTCGCTACGGCCCTGATCAGCTGCAAGCCCAGACCAATCAGGATTCACATTCCTCCAAACGACGAGAGCACTGGGGAACAGTGCTCAAGGGGGAAGGAATATCGGTGGACTCTCAGAGTGCCGAACGGGAAGCCTCAGAGGAAAGCCGAAGAAGAAGAGGCTGTGCATGGACTTGACCTTGCCAAACTGACAAAACATCCATTCGCGTGTAGAGTTCGCAAGGAGCCGACAGCCAAAACGACATGTGTCAGTCAAAACGTTGGGAATAAACACGCAAACAAAAGCTGTTCGGCCTGTGTATTGCGCTGCATACAAACGCCATCCACACGACTTTCGCAGGTCCCTGCATCATCATCACCCACCCTCAGGTGTCGGACGTTTTTTCCAAATTGCAGGGCCGGTCGGGTGTCTGGTCACGACAAGCAAAAGTGCAAGCGCCCACTCTTCCAAGCCACACGGAGAAGAGGTTTGGAAACTTCTTTGGTAGAAGAAAGAGCTGGTCCTCACAAAATCGCCGCTACTAGGTTGGAGGCCATCGCTAGTAGGTTGGAGGCCATCGCTAGTAGGTTGGAGGCCATCGCTAGTAGGTTGGAGGCCATCGCTAGTAGGTTGGAGGCCATCGCTAGTAGGTTGGAGGCCATCGCTAGTAGGCTGGAGGCCATCGCTATTAGCAGGTTGGGGGCCATCGCTAGTAGGTTGGAGGCCATCGCTAGTAGGCTGGAGGCCATCGCTATTAGCAGGTTGGGGGCCATCGCTAGTAGGTTGGAGGATAGTAGGCTGGAGGCCATCGCTATTAGCAGGTTGGGGGGCCATCGCTAGTAGGTTGGAGGATAGTAGGCTGGAGGCCATCGCTATTAGCAGGTTGGGGGCCATCGCTAGTAGGTTGGAGGCCATCGCTACTAGGCTGGAGGCCATCGCTATTAGCAGGTTGGGGGCCATCGCTAGTAGGTTGGAGGCCATCGCTAGTAGGTTGGAGGCCATGGCTCCATCGCTAGTAGGTTGGAGGCCATCGCTAGTAGGTTGGAGGCCATC